CTAGGGTACATTTTAGTAAATATCCTTTTAATAGATTCCCCAACTTGTTGATGAACACAAGTATTTCAGTTATTATTGCGTGTTCATCCTCTATACGAGTGAATGTTGGCACGCGCCTGCAGGACGAGAGCGAGAGTGAAGGCAAGGGAAAGTGAAAGAGACACCATGGAGCCAAAGGAAGAAATGTACAGAAAGGACATGGGGCCGGAGACAGCGGCACGCCTTGGCTGTCGGCCAACAAACAAGACAAGAGAAGAAAAATGCGCAACAGTTTAAAAAGGAGGCGTCAACCAGCAGGACACGACATGTCGGAGCAGAAAGGACAACAAAATAGCTAACCGAAGGCGGCAAGGACGACCGAGGAGCAGACAAACTGTTGCTGGCTGTTGCTTCCCCTTTTGGCTTAGCATATTTAATCGTGCGGAAGCAATCGATTGCCGTTAAATGGGGGGCAATTTGCCCCTAATGACGTCATTACATGCAACAAGCCATCGACGGAGGCCCTGCTGGCCAAGAAGAAAGAAAAGGCTAACAACCGCGCCAGCAGCCCCCTCGGTTCATAAATCAATTTTCCTGTAAACTTGGCCAAAACCGCACGCGACCTTTTCTCAGGCAGGCGAGACCGCACACAGAGCAGAAATTGACATTAATTTATGGAAAAGGTTATATGTACTACTTTAATGAAAACTATAATTAATATAACTTAGCAAAAGGATACACATAAAATATAGTTTTAATATAATCATACTACATTTTATGTACTTCTTAAAGATTTTTCTCTGTGCAGCAGCCACCTCACAAAAAAACTCGAGTACGCAAAGCGTATTTATCACTTGGCCAGCTTAATGGCTCCCGGGCCAAACAAAAGCGTATTACAAAGCGTTTAGCATGTTGTTTTTTGCACTCCTCTTCCCTGCCTCTTTTGTTTTTTTTTTTAACATTTCTGTTGATCCCTCTTTTGTGGTCTGTACATGCGTGTGTGCTGATGGCCAGGCCAAAACAATAAAAGTAAAAGCGTTAAAAGAAACGAGCTGGCCGAAAGGTGAAGTTAGTCCTGAGGCTTAAGTGAGTCCTGATGAACTACGGGCCAAGATGAAGTCATAAAAGAGTGAATAGGAAAGCGAATGAGTTGATGGGAGTATATTAACAATCTGAAGAAAAGAGCTTAGGGCAGCAAGCAGGCATTATTAGCCTCGTTTTTCTTGGCCATTTCAGATGTTGTTTTTATATAAAATAACATAAATTACAAGAAAATACTATGTTTTTGTTTGTTATATTATAAGTAACTTAATATTATTCTAAGTTTGAGTATCTACTTGGCTTAAAATTACTTTGTAAAAGTTATTAGTTTTCTTTAACTAATTTGTTTTATTATATGCTCCTAACTATCACTAAAAATAATAATTGATAAGCAAACTAACTTCACAAAGTCTACAGAAATCCAATTAGAGACAAAAAGTTTCGGCTGACGTTAATAATTTATTAACAAATTCCTGAGAAATTTCTCAATTAGTCTTAGTCCTTTTCTATGGAAGCAAACACCGCTTTCTTTCACCTTTGGCCCGAAATTGACTTTTGTTTAACATTTTCCCCATGCACCTGCTCCCTTCTCCTCCTTATTACCTTCCCGACCACTTTCTTTATTTACCCTCCTCCTCCTCCTCCCTCCCGCCCTCCATATTTCTTGGCCAAATGTATGCAAATAGAAATGTCGCACATATTTCATAATTTTCATATTCTACGTTGCGAAAAGCAATTTGCATTTGCCTTATTTGTTGTTCCTGCTGTTTTTCGGAGCAAATTGGTTGCCATTTCTGTTTATCATACATGGGCAAAATTCACCGAGGGCTCTGTGTGAAATGGGAATTATGGGCCAAATTAGCTTATTTGACATTTCAGAGTGCAAATATTTGGAAAAGTTCGAACGGGAATGCGGGTGTGGGTGGGTGTGATTAGGTGGAAAATGGTTGGAAAAGTCGCTACGTATTTCATGCCCGACTGCAGTCAATCGGAATTGATGGAGCTTTAAGATTGTGCGGTTCGCTCTGAGTGGGTATTTCATTTATCTGCAGCTGTCAGTTAATTTCCGTTCAAGTAGCCATTAAAACAATCATGACGCCGCTTAGGCAACGCTCACACAAACACACACACACTGTCGCACTCACAGGACGAAATGAGGGACGCCGTCGCCATTTTTATGGGATGCCATTAACAGCTTGTTGTCGCAGCAGCCATTTAATAATGGTAAAATGCTAAAAATGGCACAAATCCAAGGGAAATAACTCAATTACACGGTCTCTCTGCCAGTTCCAAAGCAGGAGCTTTAACTCTGACTCCATCTCCATCCTCTGGTTAATTAAAGACTCTACCCCAACTTATTCTGGCTCTGGAGTCTCCTCCTTCTTCCCTTTGATTATTAATATTGAATCCAATTAATCTTCTCCATTTGACTGAGACTCCTCCTGCGACTTGGGGGGCAAGAGCCACAATATGTGGCGCGTGTCAAGTTATCATAAATGATTTCGACTTGTGGAAAGTTTGTCAAAAACTTTTGCAACTCGCATCCATGTTTTGGCCCCTGTCTGCCAAGTCAATTTGCTGGCAAAGACTCCACTCTGAATTGCCGCAAATTTTCAACTCTACTCTACCATGGTTTTGGCAGTCTTGAGCAGGAGCAGCCGGAGCCCAGTAATCCCTATCAGCCAGTGTCGTCTGATTAGGTGCTGCCGTCTTGGCCCGGCTAATTACAAAACTGTCTGGCTTTAAGACGCCTAATTCGGTTTAACTTTATGGAAATCGAATCTAATTTGGGACACTTCTTTGTTTGTTTTGGGTGATTTTAATTGGATTATTCACGTTGATAAAAGGTTTTTATTTAGTATTTTTAATGTTTTTTTTTAAGATTTTATAGTGCAAGTGTTTAACAAAAAAGAAACATTTTTCGAAGTATTTTAGACACATTGTTTCTTGTTTGTTGAAGAATTTCTACCATTTTTAAGTCATATGTTTGAACAAATTACTTTGGTTAGATTTTTGTATTATAAAATAATAGTTTTTCTTGAATTCTTTTATTTATAAAAAGTTATAGATGTTTTTTAAATATATTTTGTTACTTTTTTAGTTTTTTAAGTTTGATTATTTTTGTTTCGAATTGTTATTTAGCCCAAGTTGTTGGTAATTATATAAATATTAAATTGTTGAAGAGACATTCTTTTTTGTAGCTTTGATTTATCGATTATTATTTTTATAAAAAATTGTATTTTATACTTTTCACTCTTCTATTTCTATTTCTTTACTTTTTAATACGCTTCAAAATTACTTTTCGAACGATTCGTTTTGAATTTGGCTCGCGATTGTGGCGTTTGTGCGGCTGGCAGGGATACGCTCGCATCGGCACTAGGATAAGGACTAAAGGCGAGCCGAGGGCCGAGGACTCTGCAAAAGGAAGTGGCGCAGGCTCGGAAGGCGAAGCGAAAACAATGAAACCCACCACTATGGTGAGTTCCTAGGGCGCCAAAAATAAACAGCTGCGGAGCCGGTAGCCGTTATTGTTTACATTTTCCTACTTTAGAGAGAGCGGGGAAAAGTGGCGAGAGAGCCGGGAAAAGCTCCAAAGAGAGAGCTGGAAAAGCGCCCAAGGACAGACTGCTAACAGAAAGCTTTTCTTACTTGTAGCAGCTTTCCTCCAGTTAACTGAAATTCAAATCCTTACTGTTAGCCGGGAAAAACTGCATAAATTAATTGCCAACATGTGAAGCAAAATTCAATTAAAACTTTCTATAGACAAATTAGCATGCGAAATGGTGGAAAAACGCCATGATTGGTAGGAGAGGAATCTGGGCAATCAGTAAGGATTAGGATGTCCTTGAGGCCAGGTGGCGGGGCCCTTGAGGAACACACTCACACACACAAACACTACCTGTTGGCAGGCTGTTATAAATCCAGTTCCCTCAGGTCGCACGGCCGAGCAATTTAGCCTTAGGAAGCCCCGCCACATCCTGTCTTATTCCGGCACCCCAGGCCCGGGGGCATCAATCATTCTGGAAGGCAACCGTTTCATTTGGTGGGCGAGTCAATCTTGTGAGCGCCACCTTAACCAATTACCTAACCGCAGATGAAACTGAAAGGAGAAAAAGGATGCGGGGCGCCCCACCTTTGTTTGTGCCGCAGATAAGACTTGCCACAAACATTCCGGCCCTAAGTTATGCAGAGCGACGCACTCGAGCCTAACCCAACTGGAAACGGATCCGGGTACGGGTACGGTAGTGCCGAGTTCATAAAATATTTATTTATGCGGATGCTGCGGCTCGATCTGGGGGCCAAGGACCCAGGACCAACGACTGATTGAAATGGCGAACGAGTTCATTTGTATGTCAGGACGTCGTCTGTCTTCTCATTTGTTAAACGTTTTGTGCGGCTGACGACGTCGAATGCATATACATATATAGCACATATCCCCCTGTATCGCCTTGGATTTGCGCAATAATCAATCATAATGAATGGTTCCGGGCAGGTGGGGCAGGTGGGAATAGATTGAAAGGGTCCTGCTCCCACATATGAAAGACCAATTGCCGGTCCTTAAAGTTGAGAGAAGTGGAAAGTTTTTCTCTTGCCTTAAAGTTTCCAAACTTGAACCCGACTCAGATCCTGACACAGCATTTATATTTATTGTCTTCCAGACATTAAAAGGGCAGGAGCCAAAACTTTTCCTCCATAAATGCATTGAACTTGACTCCAAACCCTGGAGAGCCCAGAGTTTGTGGGTTGAAATTGTTGAAAGGGTTTGTCAGGAAATTTTAAAGAAACACATTTGTTGATAGTTTTAGCAGTACTTCTTAACAAAAAATGATTTTTGGAAATGTATAAGAAAGAATACTAAAAATATATAAATATCATATACTTATCTACTTGTCCTTGTTTATTATCTGGTATCAATAGAATTAATTACCTGCAAGAAAAGAATATAAGCTCCATTATAATTCCAGAAAATAATAATAGCATTTGTAGTTTATAGATTTATTCTCGGATCAAAAATTTATACTATAGATCTGGATTTCCCGTAAGGCTATTGTATGTTCTTTATATTGAAGGATTCTGTGCTATTGAAGCTGGCAACGTCGGCATGTGCACATAATTTGGTTTATATTATATATTTTCATTTAACTTCTATGGAATGATTTGTTCGTTCGCTATATCCAAGGGTCCTGCGTTATCAAGGATCGCAGCGTCGGCATATGAACATGCCAAACACTACGCCCAAGCCAAAAATAATTATATAAGCCATTTTGCTTACTAGAAAAATAAAATATACTTAAATAACAAATAGAATATTGAATACAAACTACTATGGAAACTTACACGAGTATTCTTGGCAATAAGAAAACCAACAATTCCTCCCACAATAAATGTTATAAAACGCTGCATATTTGCCTGGGAAAATCCGATCTCTGAGATTTTTAACTACAAAATTTTTAAGTAATTTCAAGTTGAAGGCTTAGTAGAAAATGACTAAAGGAATTTAGTCAAGAGACATTTTGTTAAATTAAAGCCAAGGCCTACTGTTTTGCTAAAAAAATGTTGGATAAAATAAATGTACCTATTATACTAATTATTCTGGAGAGCTCTTGTTTATTATTAATCGTTGAATCTTTGAATGGATATATCCTTTAAAGCTACTAAAAGCAAATTATTATATGGTATGATTTTTAACCTCAGGAACTGCCCCAAAAGCATTAAACTATCTTTACATTTTTATATTTCTTTTATTTATAATTTCTTCATCATTTTCAGTAATTTTGCAGGTATTGTTGGTGAAGTCAGCATTGTCGGCAACTCATCATTCCAATGATAACGCCCAGGGCAAAGGAAATAACGTGAGTCATATTGATGTTGGAATCTTGAACTATGATTCTTGAATCTTGAGCCTTAATTTGCAACTCCAAATGGTTTAGTTTGGAACTGAAATCAGCATTTCCGGCAATTCAACCTTCCAACGAAAATGCCCACCACGAAGAGAATAATGTGAGTCATAATCTCTTTCTAGAATTTTGATGTTGGTAGAAAGCTGGATCAATTTTGTGTTTTTATGTTTCCAAATGTGACATTTTTAGCCAAGATAACCAAGGATTTGTGTATTTCTAATGCTTGAAAAGAAGTGAAATATATTGATGATTTATATAAGTGCATATATTTTATTTTTACATTTTTCGTTTTAGAATTTTATAAGATTTGCCTGGAAAAAGGGCTGATCAGCATCTGCAGGTCATTAGTCCAATAATCACGCCCAGGGCGAAGGGCACTACATGGCTCATTTTGTTTCTTTGATCTTGACTATAAATATTGCACTATATAATGGTAATAATGCAAGCCGGTTGTCTAGGTATTTTTGGACAAAAGGTAACCTAACAAATATCGAAAAAGAATTATAATTGCGTAGTATATACCCTAGGTATTCCTGGTCATCAAATATCCTATAAAGCAGCCAACCAGAAATGTGACTGCAATTTCAAGATCCATTCTTCGGCAATATATTCTAGGTGTGCTTGGCAACAAAATAGCCCACCAAGCAGCCAATTAGAAATGTGAGAAACCAATCACAATCCATCTTATATTTCGAAATTTTATAGAGCCGCAGAATGTAGGGTGAGAAAAAAGACAAATAAGTCCGCGGCCTACTAAAACCGTTTCGTAATCACTTACCTAATGGGACTTCTTGCCAATTTAATAACCAACGATACAGCCCACAATGAAAGTTAGTAGAATCTCATTATCCATAATTTGGTGACCAGCGCACTTTCGAAAAAATGTACTAATTGTTTTTAAATGACATTGTCCGCCCTGAAATATCGATGAGGGAGAGACAAGCTCTAGAATCTTTGGAACACAGGGAAAGAGTTCACCAATTCAGCGATTCTATACTATTGTGTAAGCGATATCAATATAAAACGCTCCCAGACGACTCCAGAAAATGTTACTTTTAAATATTGATAATATTAATATTCCAGGCTTTTCAGACTCGATGTCAAGTCGGTTGCGATTTATATAAAATAAATGCACTCTTGCCAAAATATATATAATTTGAAATATTATATGGATTACTCTATATTTCTTTATTAAAATATGGTATGGTATATGGTACAGTTTTCTCTGCACTCTTTAATTTTTTCTAGAACTGTACCAAATTTAAGTTAAATAGAAAATTAAAGTAACTTTCGAGATCAACGTCAGGTACTTGCTCTTTTCAGATCGCCTAGCTGGGCAAAGTTCTCACTATTCAAAATTTTCCATTCGGCTAACACCATATTTATTTCGGAAAGTATTTCACCTCAAAAAAATTTACGTCTGTTCAAAATCTGTCGTTTGTCCCGAAACCGTTTTCCCGATTCTGATCCAAACCCGGATCCCCAGACCTAGTCTTTCAAGATGTGTGACAAACAGGATTGTCCCCCGCCTCCGCGGTGCTGTCCACCGCCGCCTCCGTCCTGTCGCCCGCAACCGACGTTGTTCCAGAAACTGAACTGTGTTGCCTGCAATCGGTTCTTCTTTTTTCTGCTTGGCGCTGGGATAGGACTCTACTGGGACAAGTTGAAGCAGGATGCCAAGGCGGCGGCGGAGGAGGCCGCCAAGTCGCCGAAGGAGAAGGAGAAGGATCGCAAGGAGCGCGAGAAGGCGAAGGCCGACAAGGAGAAAGCCGACAAGGAGAAGGCGGAGAAGGAGAAGAAGGAGAAGGAGAAGGAGAAGAAGGACAAGGAGAAGAAAGACAAGGAGAAGGAGAAGGAGAAGGACAAGGGCAAGGACAAGGAGAAGGATAAGGGCAAGGACAAGGACAAGAAGTAGTAACAGAGATGTCCCAAAATTCCCAGTACAACTCCCAAACACCCCGACTTCAAGCTCAAACACCAAGTTTCCAATTGATGCGTGCAACGATCTTCTCTCTATACTCCAAAGTGTTTTCTCCCTTATTTATTCCCAGTTCGAGCCGATGACCTGGAAAGGAATGTGATCAGCACTGATGAACCGCCTAGGAAAAGCATTACTAACACCCATTCAGAGTTTAGGCATCAGGAATGTGTCTACCATTTCGAGATTTCCATAAGACATTATATTGGATTGCCGTTCAACATCTTGCTAAATAAACTCAATCCGCTTTCAAGAATTGGGATCTACAGCTTTAAAAAACATGCGTTTTGATTCTAAGCAACAACTAATATAATTATCTATTCATTTCATCATTTTCAGCTAGCAAGAAAATTCGGGATAATGCGTATATATGAGTACCAATCTGGTACAATTTGATTTCCCCTTATGGAGTCATATATAAAGATCTGGTATAGCAACCTTCCACCCACCCAATCAAATATTTGAAATCACTTTAATAGCAGGAACTCCAGTTGTAATTTAATCAAAAGCATCCAGTAGAATTGAGAACAGACTAATCGAAGAAACTTGAATTGAATGGTGCAGGTAAAAAAAAAATGCTCTATTGATAAATTTATCGAAGGTAGGCTTCCTATGTGTTGATTCTTCGGTGGACAAACTTATCGATGGGCATTTTATATTTCGCTACAGCCCCGCAACACGAATGCTTGAAATGAGGGCCCATCCCATCTGAAGATTCAGTTGGTTTGGAAACGGTTTGGCAACGGCATCCGGATCGTTATCGGTATCAGTATCAGTATCAGTATCGGGTTCGTTATCGGCAACGCTTCGTTGTAGTTCCGACTCGGTTCTTACTTCTTCTTGTCATCCTTCTTCTTCTTGTCGGCTGGCTTGTCCTTGCTGTCCTTGCCGTCCTTGCTTCGGACAAAGTAGATGCCGAGTCCCACTCCAATGACAAAAAAGACAACCCGGTTGCACGGGGTGCAGTTGAGCCGGGCCAGGAGCGAGGGCATCGGACGGCAGACGCGTCGGACCTCGGTGCGCTTACAACTGGGCATGGTTCCAAGTGCTTTTCTGCCTCAGTATTTCAATTCGTTGAAAATTTTGACGGGAATTTCGTTTGCCAGATTCTAATACGAGCAGAACAAAATACGATGAAAATTTTGTACAAGCCGAGAGGGGATACATTTAGTCGAAGGCCTCGATAAATACTGAGCACAGTCACATCGAATGTGTTGACAGGTCGTCAAGTTGACTGGCACAAGGACTACTAGATCAGGCATTATCTTTGGCACAACATTACGGCATACGAGACGGAACACTACCGGAATGAAAGACCCTATTTCCCAGTCTCACCTATTTCTTCTTTTTGTCCTTGCCCTTGTCGTCCTCACTGGGGAATGTCTTGGCGAACCACAAACCAGCCACGATTCCCGCAAAAACAGCCGAAAGACGCTCGCACATCAAATGCATGGTAGTGATCAAAATTTTTTACTTAGCCAAAGGAACTCTAGAGTGTACTCGGAAAGAACTAGCAATTTTTTGTTAGATATGTACAATTTGGAAATTTCCAAAATTATCGGTGTTTACTGGTGCGGCCAAAATGAATAACTGAAAAATGAAAGCTGCCCCCGTTCGAGACTTGGCAAATGTTAACCCAAATCTCAGAGCCTGCTTGGGACGAGTTTGGAGGAAGCCCAGAGAGATTACAAAGGCCAATTTAATTAGCCGGGATTACGCGTATCCCAGGGCAGTGAAAATGCGAAATTAAAGTGCCATTGTGCCACCTTCGTTACCAACTCGCATTGGAACCGCAGTATTCGCATTCGTGTGTATTTGGGGCACACACAACAAAGGCTCCACATGCTACAAAGGATGCGATTTGGCGAAATATGAATCAGTTGGGGGGAAAACCGCAGAAGCCGGTACGATTTAAGCCCCGAAAAGTTCAGCAAAGACCAGCAAAGAAGTTCGTCTCTGATTCTGATTCCGATTCCGACCAAAAAATGTTGCAAAATTACAAACTCACGAATTTCTCGTTTCACAAAATAATCATTCATTGTCGCATCTTTATTTGGACTCCGCAAAAGGCAGGAAGAAGTCCCCAGCTTCAAGGCTTAACGTAAAAATAAAACCAATGTGCCGCCTCGAATGACGCACAAAAAAATTCATTTCTGTAAAGCATATTCCAGAGCAAAACCATATCCGTCCAATGTTCATTTACTTGACAGTGCTTGACCTCATCTTTCCCATTGACGAATCTATATTGGATCTAGATTGTCTTGTGGCTTTCGAATTTTTTTCAGTGTGTGATTTGAATTCCACGTTTTCCCTTTCAGCTTCTATATTGGAATTTTGATCAGGTTTAGATTGGCTAGAATTGGCTAGAAAAGAAAGTGTCCATAAGATACTGCACATACTTATATCGGGGCCTGCTTCCGGCTGGGGTTTCCGTTTTACTCGAAACTACCCAGCTTAGCCTATTTCTTGCCTTCCTTGCCACTGTCACCACCGCCCGGGAAGTTTTTCGCGTACCAGATGCCAACGAAAGTGCCCGCTAACAAGGCCGAGAAGCGATCACAAAGCATCCGCATTTTGGTTAAAAAGAATTAGGCTAAGCTGGTAAAATATGTGGTCTCAATTTTGTTAACTAAAAATTTAATATCAGGGACTGTAAATTTGATTGCAAAACCAACTCGGAATAAATGTAACTGAAAAGGCATAGCCTGCCTGCCTGCTTGACAACTATTTTTAACTTTGACTCGGTAACAAATTCTTAATTTTTAAGGGCTGTAAAACTTTCTTAACACCAACGACAACAGACTGTTCCAAAGTGACTTGGCCGCCTGACTTATTCACACCCAAGCCACACAAGAAAAGCAATCCCCAAAGTTTGGTTTTCTGGGCTGCAAGGATGTCACTCAGCGGCAGACAAAGCCGAACAGGTGAGGTTTTTGCTTCGGAAAACCCATCACATTGTGCCCGAATTGCTTCGAAGGAAAACAAAACAAAGCACCTTCGACTTTGTAACGTACACTCAGATAAAAATCGAGATCAGTAAGTATTTTTTAAATAACAAATTATTGAATTTACAAATCTTTGTATTCGGGAAAGTTTATTTTAACATGTATCCTTGCGGAGTAATCTACTTTTAGTTAGAAGCTTGTAACGCGGTGAAGGACTAATTTCCGAACCTATAAAGTATATATATTCTTGATCAGCATTAAAAGCTGAATCGATCTAGCTATCTCCGGACAAAATCTATTTTTTTGCTAAAACTTCGAAAAAAGATAAGGGGTTACGTCATTAAATTTGTCAAAAGTTGGCAAACAATTTTATAGTCTTTTATGTTTAATTTGAGTATGCAGACTTATTACACTAATAAAAACTAACATGGAACAGCTTCCCGAACTTAATTTAATGCTCTTTTGGCTGAGTTATGAGTTTTTAAACTTTGATTTGTTTTATTTATTCGAGTTTTCATCGGTATTTATTGGTTTGACTGAGCTTTGAGTCCCGAGATCGTGTCTGAGACAATAGAAATTTTAATTTTCCCACAATTTAAATAATCCCTTTGAGGTACTTAATTAAATTCAGTTAGTTTAGTAATTAATAAAATAGCTTATATAGTACTAAAAAACGAGAAGACTTAGTTGTTGATCAATAAAACTTATTCACTAAAAAACATTATTAAAATTAGAATTTCATTATTTCTGTAGAGTATTTCCGATCTTGCCGAACCTTTGAGAATAAAATGTTTCTTGACAATGGATTTATAAATAAATCTTTCAAAAGTTTCTCAAGTGTAAACAAGTTTTAGCTTAAACTCCTCTTCTAGTTTCATTTTTATTCCTCCATTTAGGATCTTCTCACGACTCCCTCTGTCACTCACTCACTCACTCACCTGGGGATCTGCAGCGCGATCTCGTCCAGACTGTCCGACGGACTCATCGGCGTCCGCTCGAAGAGCCGCGAGGGGGCCAAGGTCAGGTGGCCGGTGGAGTCGCTGACGCATTTGAAGACCTTGGCCCCCCGCCTTTGGCGCTGCTGTTGGCGCTGCTGCTCCACGCGCTTCTTGCGCTTGTTCTCCTCGGCGCGCTGCAGGTTATGCAATCGAAAGAAGAACATTGACATTCTGCGGTGGGGCAGGACAATTGGTGGTGGTGGTGGTGGCGAGTTGGTGGGTGGATGTTATGACGAGTTGATTGCAGAATTAATTTCAATTTCGGTCGCAATGTTTGCATTTCCAATGGGTTTTCCGTTGAATTTTCACGGTTTAACGTGCACAAAATGGTTCGGTTACAGTTGTTGAGGGAATTTTAATAGTTGTTATCGTTGTTGTCGTTGTATTTTATTTTAATTTTTTTTTTCCACAAATTGTTTTTTATTAATTTGGTTAAGCATTTTCATATGTTTGATTGTTGTTGTTGATTGATTTTCAGTTTTCATTGTCAGCAAAAGCATGAGTTGACATGGAGCGTATAAATGGTAAAAGCACAGCGAAGTATTTTTTTACTTAAATGTGTGGGAATTGCATTTTCTGCATTGTGTGTAGGGTATTGTTTGTGTTGTGTGTGCCGGCATGTTTTAGGGAGCTTTCTTTGAAACAGAAAACAAGCAAAAAAGTATGCTATAAAATATTTACAGGAAACGGAAGCATGCATGAATGGTTAATACCCGCTGAGGTAATTCAGGTTTTTACATAAATATGCAAAAAATGGTAGTAAATAAATACAAGTCAGCATATAAAATATACTATTAGCAGTTAAACAGAAAATATTCTAAAAAAATATACCATAGAAACGAATCAAGATAACAAAGAAAATAACTCTTCAATTAATAATTTAGTTATCTTTCAGATTACCAATAAAAACCCAACAAATGGCAAAACTAAATCAAGCAAAGTGACATACGCTTGAGGGCGCAAACCAACTTCCGTAGTATCAATCAAATTTTGAAATGAAATGGAATTTTCCTAAGAGGGAGATGGAAAACTTTACAGTAGCAAAACTGGCAACTGCCCGCAAACGGAGAGCTCAGAGCTTCTCCTTCCTTTCCGGAAATTGAAATATGAACCGCATTGAGAGCAAAAGAGAGATAGAGAGATGTCCATTGCCAAAAAATAGAAAGCCACACAATGTCTCTGGCGGAAGTTCGGCGGGTAAGCCAGATTTCCCAGGAACTTAAAGCTGCAGCTCTCATTACTTTGATATCCTCAATGCACGCAAGGCCAAAGGCAAGACCAAATCAGAGAGAAATTTGGCTGGCAAATTGATTGATTGATCAGCTGCAATCAGAATCAACTGATTCTCTTGTCATCAGCTCCAGATTTCCGTTCAATTAGCCGCGAATTCCCACCCTAATGAGCTGGGAAGCTCCTCTCTCTCACTTTGAGGCTTGTGTCAAAAATAAATTAATCGAAATTTGCATAAATTTTGAAGGAGACATTGTCGCGTCGTCTGCCCCAATACTCCTCCAAAACACTCTAAATGATTGCGTGCCCGAAACTTAATTATAAAAGCCAACAGAAAATGCCAAGCGGAGCCGTGAAAATTTCGTTGAACTGGAATAAAAATAAACACTTGCCATCGTCATTAGCTTTGTCCTGGCAGACATTTTGATTGGGATAATTACACAAGTATTTAAATATTTATTTACTTTTATTTTAAAGATATGTATGAGCTGAGACAGCTTAATATGATAATTACCTAGGTATTAATAAATGTACTCCTCTTTGAGCGATTATTTAAAAATCTTTTCAAGGCTGAAACTCAATTTCTTCCTTTAATAATTATCTTGAATTTATGTGGGTGAAAACAAGACTAATCTTTCGACTTAAACAAGAAACTCTGACAAAAATGTATAGCTCAGCTTTAAATATAAATAATATAAATGACAAGCTTTAGGCATTTTCTAATTAAAGTTGTGCAATCAAAGCATTAATTCGTCTTCTAATCGAGTCAAAAATTATGTACAAATATATATAAATCCACAAATGAAAAACAAGAATGAAAACTAAGCTTCTTTACCCTTTAATTTCTTAGTAAGCTTAAAAAAAACACTTTCTTTGAATCATATTTTTTGATATGACAAAATTGTTGGACAAATCAGAGTTTTAAAGACTCATAACTAAGTCGCTAATGCATTAATTTTAATTCGGAAAGCTGACCCATATTACTTTTTATTAGGATAATAGCTCTGCATACTCAAATTAAAATTCAAAAGAATCGACATTTTTATCAATTTTAGGGATTTTTTCGGCTGATGATACTGATCTAGAATATTTATGATTTAGGCTGGGAAATGCTTCCTTTCAGCGTAACAAGCTTATGACTAAAATTATAAAACTTTGCAAAGGTATAATAACCACACATAATTCCCCACTAACCATTAAGCTATTAAGCTTTTCTCCTCAAATTAATTAAGCCAACACACATTAAATTTAAGCCACTTGCATAAAATACTATTATAAATTCCCTTTTAGCATTCATATAAAATCTACAAATATTTAAATGCCGTCCCAGCTGCCCGGGTAATCCCCTACATTTATTATGGTCCACGAGGAGAATTACGGAGCGTGCCGGAAAAAAATGCAAAGAAAAGTTTCTCTTCACAAATGGCAGTTCATCATCAGGCGGTTTTGTATGGGAATGCCCCTATTAGTGCTAATGATGCCCATTTGGGAGTCCACATGGAACTGAAACATTTAAATGAAACCTAAAAATTAATAAATACTATACTTTTCATGGCTGATTTTTAATTAAATCCCATACATTGATTTGACTTGGTAACCCAAGGCTTAGCCAATTGCAATTATAAATACTTATTACAGTAATTAGAGTAATTTGCTAAATATGCAAATCAGTATTTGGTGCAATGGGAAATGCTTTGAAAGTACTCCTTCTGTTAACCCTAGTTCTTGTTGTACAATCTCAATCACGTACTACCAAGAAGCCAGGTATGTTTGGAGATCTTCAGAATTTGAACTAATTTCTATAATCTTTAAAGTGTATGAAGTGGACTTGTGTACCATACCAGTGATTCTTCGAATATCTCGGACCATGTGCGATCCCCTCTTTAAACTTTGGGTCCTAAGACAGGGTGCATGCGTGGAGGCACGTCAGTGCCTTAGAGGATACTCCAAAAAGGATTGTGAAAAACATTGCCTGGGAAAACTGAAGACAACTATGACAATTGACTGCACAACAAAAGCAACATTAACAACAAAACCAGGAATCACAAACAGTTCAACTACCGAAAGTACAACGGAAATGGAAACTGAAATTCCAAGAACTGTAAGAACTAGAAGGCCAAGAACAACTCCTCATGTTGATTGCTTATTTATAGATTAAAATAAAAAGCTAGGGAGTGCTGAGATTAATATTTATAATTGTAATTATTTAAAGTTTAAATATTTAGTAATTAGTAACAAAATGTCTTTATAATATCCTTCCAATTAGGAATATTTATGGAGCGCCATAAGCTCTACCAAATTAGCAAATCATTTAAATAACACAATATCCTTATCAAGCCGATGGCACGCAGCCCTCAGAGCTTTTCCTACCCCCACAAAAAAATATGTATTTTCACGCCCATTGAAAAACGTCGTAAAAAAGCAAAGATCAGGCGAACAATATGGGATATTTTTGGCAAGGCGAACAATGCCAAGAAGGAAGGGACACCCGGAACCGAAAAAACGAAGGCAGAAGCAATAATCATTAGGCCAACAAAGGACTCGCCCTGGTCGAGGTTGGGCAGCCTCTTCTATCGGGTTGAGTGCGTTGTCAAACGCTGACCAGGCTAAAAAAAATATATATAGTATATGTATAAAGAAACAAAAACGAAAAAATGCCAAAATAAACACTTGTCGCCGATGGAATTCAGAGTGGGGAAGGTGAAGGTGGCTTAGGTGGTTTTGCCAACCACAAAAGAGGATATTTTCCAGCTCAGCACGCGCTCAGGCGCTGGTGCGTGCCGCATCGACTGCTCCTGCTCCTGTTCAGAGTCCTGAATTCTGGGTCCCGAGACCATTAGCCATGTGAGAGTGTGGGAGGAATATGAAGAACACTCGGGTAAGGACTCACAGACTGATGGCAGACAGGATACAATCTTTTCACGGTCCTTGGCCGGGCCTGGTGGCCTGGTAGCCTGACTTCCCCCATCGTCCAGATATACGTAATAAAAATGTAGACAATTTTTACGACACTGTCCGAACGGAACACAAGTGGACATTCCGCTTTTATTTCTTCATTAAAAAGCAGTATTGATTGCCCGCCAAGGGGGTCAGAAGGCGGGGCATCGGATGAGTGCACCCGGAGGACCTTTGTACATCCATACTTTTATTATAGTTTGCCACACAAAAGCGAGCTTTGTCAGTGGCAATATTGGGCTTTCTCGGTGCGTCGTCAGTGTGTCTCCCTGTATTTGATTTATCCATATTGAATATCATCTCAGTCGTTGGCTTTTCATCTTTCGGATGCTTTTGTGGAGGCTACTCTTATTTCATCAGTCGAGGAATTTAAAAACCTTGATGCTTTATGGTGTATTTCAATATGCCATGACTTTGATGTTGGATAATTGATTACGCCTGTCTGGGTAATTCCTGCTAATGTGAGAATCATTTTTCAATGCAAACTAATGACTCCCCAATGACCCATTTTGTGCACCCTTTCCGATAAATGGCCATACTATAAATACGGGACTAATTGGCCTGACTTAGAAGCCTATAAAGGGGGCTAATGAAGGACTGCACTTGGTCAGTAGGAAAAATGGTTAGAACCTGGTCGCGGTGCTGTAGTTTTCTGAGCAGATTCATGGCTCTAAACGGACTCTACACCTTCTATTTCGACGCGAAGAAGAACGGATTTAGGGACTCGTGGAAGCTGAAGACGTACTGCCTGTTACATCACCTTGTCTGCGTTCTGTCTCTGGCCAGGATGCTGTACAATTCCGCCGGAGATATGAGGATAGGTGTGAGCATCCTCACCATGGGCAGCACAGCAGGCTTTTGCATACACTCCTGCTGGCAGAAGCGGCAGGGTATCCGGAAGCTGTCCAATGGGCTAATCCGCATGGAGGCCAAGTTCTTCGTTGGAGTGCCAAGCAGCTCGGTGCTGAGGCATCGATTCTACCTGAAACTGGTCTTTGTCTCAATCACCTTAATAAGGATCCACTTGTTTTATCCCTTTTACATGAAGCGACTGCTGCCGCATCTGTTCGTCTTGAACCTGGTCTGCTATTGGCAGGTGTACAACATGCTCCTGGCCGCCGCTTTTTGCTTCTACTGTCTCCTGTGGCAGATATGTCGCAGTCAGGAGATCATTAATAATCGAATGCTGCTGCTCCTGTCCAGAGCTAGGACGAAGAATCGACTTCGGGAGATGACACGCTGCCTGAAACTCTACTCAAAGTTGCTCCTACTCTCCAACCAGGTTAACCTAGAGTATGGACATGTTTCGGTCTGCGTCCTGGCCTGCAAGAGTTGGTACCAGATCACCCATGGCTACGAGATATTCCAGATGGTGGCCGCCCCACAGTCCATTGACATGAGCCTGGGCATTAGGATATTTGTGGTGTTGACCTATATCCTGGATGCTATTAACATGGTTTTTGCCACGGATGTGGCCGAAATGTTCACCAAGTTGAGGGAGGACTCACGGCGCATCTTGCGCGAGACAAACAGAATGGATCGCTTGGTGAGTTCAGATTTTTTCAAAGACTTTTCCTCTCTAATTTTGCACTTTTGAACTCCGCTTTCAGCTGTCGATGTTCGCCCTGAAATTGTCCCTGCATCCCTCGAGGGTCGTCTTTCTCAACGTGTTCACCTTTGACCGAAAACTGACGCTAACGCTCTTTGCCAAGTCGATGCTGTTCACAATCTGCTGGCTGCAGGGCGACTACAACAAGCTCAAGTCCTAGACTCTTGAATGGCAAATCCTCTGATTCAAAGAGTTTTATTATATTATAGAGGCAGGAGTTTGTCTCGCCGGCGAGCACAAAGCAGAAACCAGAACACATGCACAACTTGAACCAATACAAATATTTACATATATGCATTCAGTAAATATATAATGGAAAAATCAACTACAATGCAACCAAACCCAAATCCAAAGCCACAAGCCAAGGAGCTGCTCTGCACAATGAAGTCTGAGATGATGATGTTGATGATGATGGGGATGATGTGGTTGGAGCAGGGATTGGTTAAGCTTACACAATTGTTAGGAAAAATGTAGGTGACATAAGCTAGCCTCGAAGGTTTAGTGTCCTGGAGAGATCAGTATGAGTTTTCTTTAAAAATGTTTCAAATTTAAATAATAGAATATTTAGCAAGTGTTAAGTGTTCCTTTATGAAAATACATTAATTAAATCTTTTATTCTATTCTATTTTATATATTATTTGTTAAAGTATATTATTCTGTTAGCAACTTAGTTTATTTCTGGTTTCCCTAACTGCTATTTATAATAAATCTAAATATTTTTCAATACTCTCTTTCAATGTTAAGTCAATGCATTTGAGGGGTATTTTCTGCCATCATCCTAGTACATAAAAACCCATTCTTTACCCTCCAAAGGACCTCTTATTTGCTCGCATGCAGGTGTGTGTATATGCTGTCGAAGGATGAACCCTTTAATTTGATTTTGAGAATGAAACCAGCGTCTGTGGTGTGTGTCTGCAGTTTGCGGTGTGAAAATAGTCGAGCAAATAAAAATGAGAAGGGATAAAGGTAATGGAAACCGAATGGTGGACAAAATCAAAGGATAAACAAAACTTACTTGTGAAAACCAATTAGAAAACTTGTAGTTACGGAGGCTAGTTAAGCGGCTATAGTTGCTATAGTTGTTGCCGCCGCTGTCGCCATTGTTAATATTATTATTATTGTTGTTGGTATCGTTGCCGCCGCTGCTGCTGGTGCTGCTGCCAGCGGCCGTGTGGTGGCACGGGTCACTGCTCATGTTGCAGGACCAAGGATTCTTGGCGTGCTAGGAACACATACACATACACAGACACATGGACACACATATACGAATAAATGCAGTTGGCAGAGAACACTTATGGACAGATCTACAAAGCGCACAGCAAGGAAAGCTCCCAGGAAAGACTGTTGTTGATGTGTTGTTTTGTTTAGTTTCGTTTCAATTCGTTTGCATTACCTGGAAATCGTTATATAGCTTCTCTCCCTCCAATAAAATATATATGTATTAAGTCCTATGGTTAGTTTATAGGTTGAATATGTTCATAGCACAGTCTACAGTTTACACGTTCAGTTACACTTTACACACGAGAATTGACAGCAAATATCGAGTTTGGATTTGCCTCTCCTATCCTCTTAGTTGACTAATTTAAAGCTTTTACCAAGTTTTATTCCATTCTGGTCATATGTACACTTAGTCGCTAAGCTAATCGTATAAATTCCTAGTTAAGATCCGAATTTGGTCGTCTTTAGTATTATAGTTTGTAAGCACAAAAGTCTCACATTGATTTTTGCAACTCGGAATTGTATCCGCGTTTTGGTCCGCTCAGTTGGATTAGGTATGTATTTTTATCGTTATCGGTACATTTAGTTATTTATTAGGTGTAGTTGGTCAGTTAGTTGGTTTGGTTTCTTGGTTGGTTATGTAAATACTTAAAGCTGCTTTCCTTGGACTCCTGTTGATATTTATTGTTTTATCCGTTCGACTGCCGGGCTCGGACCGGGTTCCTGTGGAAAGAGAAATTGATGCTTGGGGAAAACTACTGCCGGTCCGCAGCGACTCGAGTGTGCCAGGCGACGGCCCCTCCCTGAGGGAGGGACTGACTGAAGCATTTGCTAGCCAAACGAAATTATGGCCATGATATTTTGCAAATAATAAAGAAGGAGACGGAGGGACGGGAACATCGGCCGACATCGGGGACCCCCGTGGAGCGGAGAAGAAGCGCCGAGGATCCTAAGTTCAGATGCGTGCCAGTCGGCCATTTGGCCATCTTTTGTGCCACTTAGCCCCGGCCACCCCACCATTTGCCATTTTCCATTGGCCACTTGTCTCTTTGCTGTTCTTGCAGCAGCCACAATAATTTAATTCTGAAGAACCCAGTGCATGATTAAATTTAACCGTTCACAACTCAGCTGGAAGCTGGGTTTTGGGATTTTTCCTAGACAAGTAAACGATGTATTTTCTCAAACTAATATAATTCAGGTCCCCAAAAGACTTTAATATATAAATTTCCTTTAAGTTCTTCCAAGTATAAGCAATATCTGCTGTAATTAATTCATTTCAACCAAGTTACGGCGACTAATCTCCTGCAAACGAGCTGGAATACACCTGCTCTGCCTAAATATAGAAATATATGGAAGCAGCTCCCCCAAACGAAAATCAATAAGTGTTACACTGAAAATCGCTCATACGCCACCGGCACATGTCTGTGTGTGTGCTGGCAACGACATAACGGTAAAGGTAACGAAATTTTCTTCGATTATTAGTTTTGTTGCAGTTGCAAGTGACAAAAAACGCGACATAAAGTCACATCGCCCACATGCAACATGAGACCTGGCTTTAGCCTCCCTTTTTATCCTTTTTCTCGCTCTCGCTCTCTCTCTTGAAATTGAATTTATGGCCAACACATACACACGAATACACACACAACAGCGTCAGAACAGCTGCTGCTGCCACGACAGTTTACACATTACGTATACGTACCGTATACGGGAAAGTTTTTCGGCTTTGACCCAAACTATCCGGCATCCCGAAAAAGCGAACCCATTCCAGGCCAAGGAACTTGATGGTGCCATCAGCCCTGAGCGTATATAGAAGTTTATCTCGGGGCGAAGGCTCCTCCTCGCTTCAGCTATCTGGCTGAGTACGATTTTTTATGGGAAAAGTTCAAAGCAATTTTTAAAGATCAAAATGCCAAACAGAGACATGGGACGAAGGATACGAAGGAGCGACCAAGACCGAGACAAGAACCGATGGACCAGTTAGAAGCCGCTGGGGACTGGACCAATGTCGATGGCGAGAAGCCACAGAGAAATCATTTCATTTCAATTTATTTTCCCATTTCCCATTGTTTTCACTTGTAGTTACCACAGTTGTGTTGGTATCTTCAAATCGGAATTTGTTTTGCCTTGTTGGCATTTTCACACCACAAACACGCACACAGTGAAATAAAATTCGAAAATTACACAGCATTATTTTCCCAAATTACTCATATTTGTCTCTATGATTGTGTGTGATTGTGTTATTGTGAGTAATTACTTGAACAGTCAGGCCCACTCCTTGATTAAGGACATTTTCTGTTGCTAACTTTGGATTACATATAAATAAAAAGGAAATGTCAATGAAGTGTCTCTAATTGGATTAAAAGAATTTCCAGAAGTTTCGGGGCATCAAAATGATTTGAATACATACGAAAATAAAAACCTGACAGTCAAGATTTCTGTATAAAAATGTTAACTTTAATGTCCCTTTTTTGGCTAAGAAGCTCGTATTTATTTGGAAGTGAAAAAGTGATTCGGCCGCAGTGCTGTAGTTTGCACAAGTCCAGATTACGCCAAGTTTTTAGCCACAAACAAATCCCTGGCTTAATGCAGCTTTTAGCCCATAAATTTGGACACTATTTTTCGCTGAGCAAAAAAGTTGATCTCATTAATCAAAAGCCATCCAGCTCTTGACACAAAAAGGACAACAGAAGAACCTCACAACGAATTCAAGCATGCCCTTTGCTGTCACTTGATGAAAATGAGATAACAGATTAGAGCAGGGAAACTGCATTAAATAATAGTTCCTTCATTTATTTAAATATTTAAATTGTACTTAAAATAACCATAAAAGAAAAACGACTATCAATTTAAACGCTTGAGCTTTCATAACCTTAGGAAATTATGCAAAAGTACGAAAGTAAAACAGATGAAAAGATAAGTAATAAAAACCAGGGGAGCAGGGGAGCAGGGGGAGGTGGGCAATTATGAAAAATCTTGGCAAAGTGGAAACTATGCTGAGGGTGTTTGTCAGCGGAAATTTATGCTTGCGGGGAATGACCACTTCTTGGCCAAAAGAAATGGCAACGAAGGCAGCGTGAAAGGCGAAATGACGCCACTTACTCTAATTGCTGCCACGTTGCTGGGGTCCTGCGACCGTGTCAGAGGGTCCTGATGGCCAAATACACAAAGGACCGAGGAGCGTCTCGTGTAATTAAAGCACCACGGCACACCGCATCCATTGCAACAATGCGTCCTGCTGTAACTGGTGTTAACTTGGCCAACTTGCCTGCCGCTGCATTGTTGTTTGCTGGCTGCTCACGCCCACGTTTACGAAATTTTTGGCACTCAATTGAGCACATTAACTGACAGACGTTGGGCTCCATTGATTGCTGGTTGCCAGTCAGGCTGTTGTCCATCTCGTCCCTTTTCCTTGGCCTCATAATTGGCCCCGGCACTGGCTAAGGGCTGACCGTTTCGCAACAGGACCACTTGGCTCCAGTTGCGTTTAGTTTAGTTACTTTTATACGAGTTTTGCACCGTCCGGTGGGAGTATGGTAAATGGAAAGCTTATGAATGTTTAAACAACTTTCAATTGCGAGAAAAGTTTTCAATTTTCGCAGTAACTTTTCCACAGCTTCCTGCTCCCCTTGCCATGCCTTTGCCATGGCAATGCATTAACAAACTTTAATTAATATGTGAGAGCGGGCATGGGGATATTGATTCTATCTATTCCGCTGTGTTTCGAGCTTGTCTGAAAGTTTTCACTTAAATGGATCCCTCGAGCAACAAGTTTTTTTCTTTTTCGGGGGACATACGCAACTTTGTTACATTGTGATTGAAAAGATAATGAGCTTAGGCTGGTTATTACATTTCCAAAGAAGTAAATGTAACAAGGGTGTAAAGAACTTTAAAGAGCATTGTGTTATGCATTCCCACTTGAGGTCTTGAAGTGTAAAGTTAATGCTGTCTATTGACAAACACTCAGCTCAAAAGCAGAGCTACATTTCTTTGATATACGATTACAGTTGAGTATCGCTGCCAAATACTTTGACGGCACTTTGCTGTTACATCTCTGCACACTTTGCATACGTTTGTCAATCCCAATCGAAACCCATTTAGCCCGACACTGCGGGTAACTCTTGGCTGTGAGCTGAAACCCGAGACTCCCCGGGAATATCTAACGTAACATAACGTAGCGCAAAAGGGCAGAATGCCGAGCTGCATGTCCTGACTGCAGCTCGGCGATTAGCAAACAAGATGGTGTGGCAGAGCAGAGTGCGACTTATCCTCGGAGCCAGATCAGGCGGTGGGGTTTCGCATAAAAATGCAATGCGTTGCCTGGCAACGGTAAAAATGTGTCACCAAGGGGATAGACCAAGGGTCCTTTTCCCATCCAAAGGATATACACTACAGCGAAGCACAGCACAGTGCAGTGCAGTATAGTGAAGGGAGCACTTTGGTTCGTTGGGAAAACGCCAAATGACTATAAATTGAGAAATCGCTTTGTGTGTGCGAGTTGTGCTCGGTTCGGTTCTGCTCTGTTGTCGCTACGTGCCACTTGAATGCCACTCCAAACAGCAGCAGCAAGGGAACAAATGAAGTTATGCAGTGTTTTCATTGATTTCCTCCGGAAAGGCCAATGGAATGGTACCCACTTCCCCGGGTACTTACTCAAATTAAACGTGCCAAAATGGGGAGTCAACACCTGCAACTGCAACACACTTGGGCTGTGGCAATGAAGCTCTGCCTGTCTGCTGAAAAATTCTACAGCTGCAGCACTTTAGGCTGAGTGACTTGATGCTCTTGACATGCAACGGAAATGAGTTGGCTAATGTGACAGGAGGCGGGAAAGTCAGGGAAGTTTTTGGACAAAAGCTCGGGGCCGTGGGCTGTGGCCTGTGCAGTGTGTGGCTGTGACAGGTATGCGATGGTTTTATGGCTGATTTGCCCGCTGGCAAGCGCATTCGCCACACATCAGCAGGCAAATGCGTTGTGCGCATTACTCATACGCCCCATAAACAATTTAAAAGGCACACATTAAAGGCCACACTCCATCGCACTCGCAATGCGACCTGTGAGCGCAAAAAAGCATTCAGCTCATTAAATATTGAACACGAATTTATGACCAACTGGAAAATACACACAACCAAAACAGAGAGAGAGAAAGAGCGTTGGATCTGGATAGCGAATTGCAATTTGAATTTTGTCCTGTGAGTTTGTCGGGTCTCGCAGGAGGAGTGAAAAAAGTTACTGTGCTACCCCCCCTGCTCATTATTATTACGAAATTTGAATTTTGCTGGAATGCATAAAATATCATCATCCACAAGAGGACCAAGCGAGGGTTATTAATAAAATATGCCCGGGATGCTGCCAACACCAAACCATCCCTATGCGAATTCAAAGAAAGCGCCAAATTCAATCAGCGGCAAATGAAATTTCCCTTCAGGTTAGAGCCCAGCTCTGTCTCTCTATCTCTGGCCGTAATAAATTTCATTTATTTTAGGCAGCTTCCCCAGACTGGCCCGTGTGGATTGTAACACTTACAATTAATATTAATTTTCGCTTCGGTCCGCCATATTTAATGCAAAAGTTTTGTGAACGTCAATTCGCATCAGGTCAGGGCAAACCGCCGCCACATAATTGTCACTTAAAAGCTTTCACATGCTCTCGCTCCTTTACTTATTTATCTTTCCTTTGTGTCTCAATTATCCAACTGTCAGTTAGTGTTTCCCACGTGAGTGCCA